GACACTGATGGCGTTTCTGAAGCCCAAATGCAAAATCGAAACCCCTCTGTATTTGCCATGAGAGGTTGGTAACAATCAGTGGAATTTTAGGCATAAATGAGTTATCTTTATAAATACGGGGGCTACTATGGAACAGTTGATTAAGGAATCTACTGTTTTCCTTGTATCTGTCTGATAACATAAAGAATTTGATTGCAGGAGGAGGAAGGGGGAAAGGCATCTGACGGCGTTCATTGAAGTTACCCCATACCACAATGTCACTGTTGATGGCACTCAAATACTGCAATGCATTTTATGCAAAGGTGAATTGGTTTCATTTAAGAACATTCGAAATAGGAACAGGGGAGTGGACCATCTGGCCTATCAAACATGCGATCACAGCTGAACTTTGGCCTCAATTCCACTTTGCTACCCATTCTTCTTGATTCACTGAGAAACCTAAACTACATATATCTGAACTTCAAATGTATTCAATCCACAACCCTCTGGGGTATAAAGCTGGGATTATACTTTCAAAACAGTCTCCACACTCAGGGCCACAGTAGGGCCTTTCTGCTCTTTAGCAGACTGCTGACTGAAAACTCAAATTTTGTCCAAAGGTACTGCTAGCACTTTAAATACAATGATTGTGCAGAAAACAAATGGAATTCTTTTTAATCATTCATAGGATGTGGGTATTGCTGATTGATATGCATTTATTGCTTGTCCTTAGTTGCACTTGAGAAAGCGGTGGTGAACTGACTTCTTGAACTGCCCTGATGTACTGTATGATTCAATGATTGTCAGTTCCAAACTGGACATTGTCCAGGTCATGCTGCATTTAGATGTATGGCTTCAGTACCTGAGGAGTCACAAACACTGTAGGCATCAGCAAACTCCCCACTACTGATCCTATGAGAAAGGGAAGGATGATATACAATACCTTCCACCATGCAAGTAATGCCATTAGCTCACTCCTTTAATCCAACCTCTTTGACCACACTTTTAGCACCTTTTAATGTGGTTCGGTGTCAAATTTTGACTGATCTACTACAATGGAGTGCCTTAGGATGTCTCAGTGGTTAATGACACTAAATGCATGTGTTGGTAGGGCTTGATGGATAGTACAACTTAGTACAACTGCAGTACTAGCAGCTGGTTACAGAGCTTGTTCATTGCCATTACATATTGACCACAGATTCTTGTGCATGGATAGCATCCTGAAATTCATTCTCTCACATGTAACAAAAGTAGGTAATGAACTTGGATCGTTCCTTGTAGCATTTGCTTTACTTCTTTGTTCATTATCCAGAAGCCTGTCCAATATCTTAAGGATCCAAGTCCGGAATGTGATGGAATACTCCCCCACTTGCCTGGATGAATCCAGCTCCAACAGCACTCAAGAAGCTTAGCACCATCCAGAACAAAGCAACTCATTTGGCATCCCATCCTTTAGCATACCATCCACCACCTTCATCATTCACTGCCTCCACCACTGACGCACAGTGTGTACCAGCTAGAAGATTCACAACAGCAACTCACTGATTCTTCAGAAGCACATTTTAAACCCATGAAATCTACCAAATTGGAGCACCAGGGCAGCAAATGTGCGAGAACACCAACACCTACAAGTTTACTTCCAAATCATGCAGCATTCTATTATGACTGTGATGGGCAGAGTGTGCTGGTAACCAATCCCCACTCTTCCACCAGTCACACCATTTGTATAGACATGTTGATTCAATCACCAAGTGCCCAATTGTTTCCCCTTATTACTTCCAACTAGATTAAAATAGACTTTCACCAGGTTTCTTTAATAAACTTAAAACAGTCCATTTATTATAAACAAAGCTCATTCTTAAAAACAAGTGGCAAGGCTAGTTAATATCTAACATATGTCCCTGAATTAGATTATATGTTCCTTTTTAATCCCAAAATAGACATACTCACACAACACAAAAGACATCAACATGTCTGCAGAGTTATTTTGAAAAAGGGCAAAAGATAGAGCACCCTTAATGGCCAAAGATCTAAAAAAAAGATGATAAAATCTAATTAATAATTGGTTGGCAGTGCAAAACTTAAATGAGGCAAGAAATTGAAACTACATTTTGCACTTACCAGAACTAGGACACAAGAAACAGTCTTGAAAAATGGAATATCATTTTATACAACATAAAAAGAGAGCACAGATTGGTTGGGCCATCATTGGCATGGAGACCCTGCAAGAAGAGTTAACTTTAATCATAATTCTTAGTCCAGGCCAGTAGATTATGATTGGTCAGGTGTTGCCATGGAGATGCATCAGTGATTGGCTTTCTCTAAATCCCTTTCTTTATGAAAAAGGTGTAATATACATACAAAATCCCCTTGCCTACATAAAACAGAGTCCTGTAGCTTCTAGTGTGTGCAAATCCTTTACGGTGTGAGCTTGACTGCTGATCTCTAAATTGGTTTACATTGTTGGCAGCTATGGACCAATGCGAGCAAAAATAAGGCTCCATTTCTGATGGAAACCAAGCTCAATCCAAGTCTTTGGATAGTCGTCATACTTCAGTTTTTCAGTGTTTTCAAGTTAATAAAACCACAGAGGCATGGAAACTTTATTAGGTTCTCAAGTACTTCAACCAAAAGAGGGAGAGAGAATGCTTTTCAGTTGTACTGTTGCCTTAGAGGATCTTCCTTCTTGTTAAATCTCCTAGGTTCGTGGAGCCAGATCTGTGTCCATCATCATAGGAATTTCCATAGACTATTCCAAAGTGACGCTTTCCTGTAATTAAGGGCATTAAACCTCAGGTCTTGTCTTTCTAAAATTTTTGCTTTGTTTTGTTCCCATAGTGAATTGACTTTGTGTAAATGTCACGTGGATCACAGCCCATATTAAACTGTTGATCTCATGTCCAAGAAACCACATGGGTTCCCTTCAAACTCTTGGAAGGAACATTTTTTAAACCAGAATGTGTCCCAACAGTTCAATATCATACAGTTCTCCATATAGTCCATTAATATAAATACACATTTCCATCAATCCTGGCATGGTAATATATCACCGTTCCTTTCGTCTCACTGGTCAAAATCCTGGAACTCTCTCCCTAACAGCATTGTCGGTCTACCTACACCACATGAACTGGAGCAGTTCAAGAAGGCAGCTCACCATCACTTTCTCGATGGCAGCCAGGGGTGGGCAATAATTTCTGGGCTAACCAGTGACACCTACATCCTGAGAACAAACAAAAAGAAAACAATCCATCTTTAAGTAATATTTATTCACCTCACCAAATGAGCCTCACTGTCAGATTGTGTTTGGTAATATTCCCATGAAGTAACTTGAGATGTTTTCCTGTGTTAAAGACACTTGATAAAGTGCCACCCAACGGACTTGTCAGCAAAATTAAACCCATGGATTAACAGGGATACTGGCAACGCAGTTTGGTTGAGTGATGGGAAACAGAGAGTTGTGGTGAGTGGTTGTTCTTTGGGCAGGATCAAGGATGCCCAGCGTTTGGTATTAGGAGCATTGCTTTCTCTTATTTGTATGAATGACCCTGGCCTTGGTGTACAGGACACTTCAGAATTTGCCAGTGGCACAAATCTTGAAATATTGTGAACTGTGAGGAGGATAATGACAGATTTCGAGAGGACAGGGCCAGGTTGGTGAAATGGGCAAGTAAGTGCCAGATGAAATTTAAGGCAAGGAAGTGTGAAATGATTCATTTTGTAGGGAAGAACGAGGAGAGGCAATATGAAATTAAAGGGGTGATTTTACACAGGCTACAGGAATAGAGTGAGCTGGGAGTACATGTGGACAACTCATTACAGCCGGCAGGATGAGAAAATGGTTAATAAGGTGTACTGCAGCACAGGATATGCATTATGGGCAACAAAACAAAGAAGCTATAGTAAACCTGTATTTAAGATTGGTTTGGCATCAACTGAAGGATTTTGCTGACTTTTAGGCACCACACTTTAGGGAGGATGTGAAGGGTTTTGGGAGAATGCAGAAAAGATTCATGCAAGTGGTTCCAGGGATGGGGAACTTCAGTTATCAGGACAGATAGGAGAGATTGGGTTTGTTTTCCTTGGAGAAGAGAATGTGGAGAGGATGTTTAATTGAGGTGTTCATGAGGGCTGTGGGCAGAGTACGTAGGGGGAAACTGTTCCCATTGGTGGGAGTATTACAAACTAGAGGGTACTAATTTAAGTGATTAACAAAAGAACTAGACAGCAGGAAGAAAATCTTTCTCACACACCAAGTGGTTCAGGTCTGGAATGCACTGCCCAGCAGATTCAATTGCGACCTCCAAAAGGGAAATATCTGAAGAGACTAAAAAATGCCCTGTTACAGAGAGAAAGCAGGGGAGTGGGATTAGCTGAGTTGCTGTCAGAGGCAGTTAATTTGGATACAATGGGTGGAGTGGCCCCCTTTTGTACTATAATCATTGTGTGCAATATAAGTTGTCACTGTTCCAAAAACGTGAAGAAACTCCTTCCCTCAGGATAAGTCCCCAAAATTTTTGATTTTTAAATTTATTTAACTTTATACTGGTGATGACAGTGTACTGTGCCAATACAATTTAAGACAACATTTACAGTGTTGAGATGAAGTATAATATTTGCAGGGTTTATTGACATCTTCAATGAAAAGAGGTCCAATCAGTTCAGTTTGAGGAGTTTCTCTGCTAAGACATTCTGTCAGTGCTATTTACTCAACAAGCGGTTAAGTAACTGAGTTTGCTACAGTGTCAGTGCCCGTGCTGACACACTTCATTCTGTTGCGATTGGCTGACTGCAGTCACTGTTCAGGAATACTAAAATCTTTCTGCAGCTCTCTCGTGGCTCAAATGAGCAAAAACCAACCTCAGCAAGCAAGATGCAGACTGAGGCTCGTTGTGATTGAATTCCGATCGTCAGAACGAGTCAAGAGGATGCAGCACACACTGCAGCTGAGGTTTACATCAGTCTGATTCCCGAGTGATTTAATTGCCCCTTATTTTGTTTTTTTTCCCTGCTAATGTCAGTCATGTGATTTGCTTGAGTTTTGCTCGGGTATCTTGTGTTTTTGCATCTGTCTGAATGGGCTGAACAACTGCTGTTTAGACTCTAAATGTTCGGGCTGTTTGTGCCTGGATTTACATGCTTGTACTGGTAGGTGCTGGTCGGTTTCTAGTCTCGGATTGCTGCATGTTACAGTTCAGTGACCTTCAGTCTGCAAGGACGGAATTAAATTGTAGTCATTTAAGAATGTATAAAACCTTTTGTAATCTCGAGTACACCTAATGGTTTCAAAACCGCATTGAATGTTATAGCAGTAGTACTACATAATACTTGTACATGACATGCCCTTGAAGGGGGTTTAGGAGATTTGATGTTTAACTGTTAGACTTAGTTGTAGACGTGAAGAGTTAATTTGTGGTATTGCTGTTGTGAGTGTGGCCTGGGGTATATCATAAAAACACTTCATAATCAACTGTTATTTAAGTTGAAGTATAAATGGTGAAAGTTGTGGTAGTCGCATGGAACCTTTCTGATTCTTTTCTGGGAGTCATTTGTGTGAAGACAAATACCGGAATAGTGCTGCAGAATGAATATCTGAATACATCCTTGAGTAGCTGGGTCAGTAAATGTGCTTCTGGGGCTTTGCTCCACTGTCTAAAACATGTGCAACCGTCCCAATGCTCATCAGATTAACCTGTTTTTTGTTTTTGCAATGAACTGTATTGATATTTGCCTACCTTCTTTCTGAATTGAGTGCTCATTGCTTTTACTAAGATTTTAATGTGACCTTGTGGAAGGAAAAAATTTTCATCCTAATTGCCTAAAGATTAGCAGCATTTTCAAAATATGTCTATTACCTGTACTCTGGAACAATAAGTTGGCTTGTAACTCATTCCAATAAGTCCGTTAACTAAATGGAATGGAGAAATTGGATCTGTCTGGGTTTTTTTTCTGGCAGATTAAATGTAGGGAGAGCTGCACAGCACCTCTGCCTCAATATTTACTGCAGGGCATTCCCCTGGCTGACAAACAGCAAGATATTGTGACAGAAATTATCAGCTGAGTCACTGCAGTTTTAGACCAATGCTTAGGACATGTATTACAAAGTCAGGCTGTGATTTATGCAAAATTCAACCCTGTTTGACACTTACTCCAAGACTCAATTTTTTCTTCTTCCTAGAATGCTATTATTCTTTTTATGTTGGAATATGGAATTTGTACAGTTATAGCAATTAATGTAATCACTTTTTAAAATAAAGTGCTGGAGTAGATTGATTTAAGGTAGGTTAAATGACTGCAGTTTGGTTTTGAGACCTCCCTTTGTGTTAAACCAGCTGTGTGAGAGGGGCCATTGAGATGCCTCTGTCAGGATGAGGTTGGGATCAGGAATGTGCAAGAGCTTTTTTTTTGCTACTTGAATACTGTTTTTTTTCCTGTCTATGGAATATTGATGTTAGATGGAATTCTCTGTAGGTTTATTGCAGTGTTAGTTCTAGGATTAAATTTATTGGGTATATAATCATCATGGCTGCAATATAAAGGAGTCCATTCAGCCCAACAATAATCAATCCAATACTGGTCAGTGAAATTTAAGTTTTTTTTTTTGGTTTTAATTTTTATATTTGCAGGCCACTTTTCAGAGTGATAACACTGATATTATGTAGTGGCTTTACAACTTGAATTATTGCTACGAAAATGATTTGCAGAATTGCTGCCTGGTTTTGCTAGGGCTAGTTAAACATGCAGTTAAGAGTGGAGAGAAGCTGGTCATCTGGAATGACTTTTTTAAGGCAACTATTGGCTGTGTTAAGGATGCTTAGGTTTTTCAAAAATGCTTTGGTAAACACACTTTTTATATGTACTTGGATAAAAGAGGCTAATACAATTTCCTGGTCCAATCATAATTTCACTGTTTTTGACTGAACACCATTGTTAATTTTAAGGGACATGAAGTCAATGTCCCTTAAAATTACCTTTTAAGGATTAAGCATGCTAGACTATGTCTCCAGTTTAAGAGGAGACTCAACATATCCCTCTAAAATAGTGAAGGGGTTCACTAGGGTTGCCATTCACCATCACAACTCCCTCATCCAATGGTGCCCAGCATCAATACGCAGTGTCTAAATATTCATTTGCAACTTGCTAAGGCTCACTAATAGCAGCTTTTAAACCCCCAAATTTTAACCCTGTGAGGACAAGGGCAGCAGGTACATGGAAACATCACCTGCACAGTCTACTCCAAACAGCATGCCATCCTGACTTGGAACTATGCAGTGCATTTGCTAGGTCAGCATCGTGGGCCTACCCACACCCCAGGGACTCCAGCAGTTCATTGAAGGTGCAGCATGACCAACATGTCCAGGGCAATACTATGCCTGTAACAGTTGCATTCCCTGAAACTTAAATTGTGGAGGAATGGTACCCATTTGGGTGAACGCAAAACGAAGGATGCCAACTGAGCCACCATTAACAGGAAGTGTATCTTTATAGTGGTGAGAATGGACCTCACTGCCAAATGTGTTGGTGGAAGCAGGGAAGCTGGTTTTTTTAAGGGGAAGTCGTAACACGAGGTAAGAAGGAGTAGTAAGATATGGGACGAGGATCATTTTGAATGTAAACAAAAATATCCCAAATGGGATGAATGGCCTGTTTGTGCTGTAAATACTATGCATGCATTTTGCTGTGATAACTGCTTTTAAAGATTACTAAAATTCATTAGATTTGTTTGCACTTGTGCGGTAAGCTAGAGTTTCTTAGAATGAAATCCTGCACTTTACACATCTGGCTGTTTTTATATTTAATGATATCTCATTTTGGTGCATAGACTGTAGCACAGCCTCTAAAATTGGGTGAGGGTGGGGCAGAAGACGGACTTGACTGGCTTGATATATATAAACTGTTACAGTGGCAGAATAGCCACAGCTATGCACCATGACGAGAACCTGGTTGAATGAGTCTACAGCCAATGATGCTTTGACATTTCTAACTGCAGTTGAGCCTCTGCAGCCTGACTTTGGTAATGAAGTCTGGGAGGAGGTTCAGCTTGATTTTCTGGAGAAAGTCTCTAGTTTAATCTGCAGAAAGCCTTGGGGTGCTTGTAGCTATTTTAATATGGATGGCCTGAAGAGCAGGCTACAGACTGTGTCGTCTCTTCCTTTCCACTGTTGACTGCAAAGGCTGCTTTGCCAACAATGTGTCTTTTATTTTTGTTTTGGGGATTTTAGGTCTGCATTAAGAAACATAATGAAAATACAATTATTCTCCAGTTATACTTCATTTGATGAAGTTGTTAATCTATACCCCTTGCTCCCCCCGAAAAAACTTTGGATTACTTCTGTGGCTTAGTGGTGAGCAGCACTCTACTCGGATCTCTGGTCTAGGATGACAGAATCCAAGCTGATACTTGGGGACTGGCCCTGAGAAGGGGGTGGGTGGTGTGGGAGGGCAGTGGGACTGGCACTAGAGGGTTGCGGGGTGGGTGCTGATCTGAGAGAGTGGTCAGATGAGACAATATACTAAGGGTTAGTCCGCATACCCCCATTCCCCTCAGGTGGATGTAGAAAGTTCCATGGTGCATTCCCAAGGAAAATAGGTCTGCCTCCTCATGTTCCAGATATTTATCCCTTTTACTGACACCAGAAAAACATCTGTTTTTGCTGTTTGTGTGTAAATTAGTTACTGTAATTGCTTAAAATAATAGCAGTCACTGTCAAATTATTTTGCTGTTTCACTTGGGGCAATCTGAGATTATAGGAAATCTGTGAAAAGATAAGGAACTTTTGGGGTTTAAGAAGCCTCCATAAAACCAACCCACTAATTAGCCTAGTCTATCTGATCTATTTGTAAAGAGAGCAGAGGAATTCTGCCTGATGTTATACTTCTTACTTTACAACAGTGGCAACACATCTGTTGGGTGGGGAGAAGTTGCAATGCCACTAGACTAGTAATCCAGAATGTTACTGTTCTGGGGACATGGGTTTGATTCCCAGCCTGGCAGATGAAGTTTTGAATTCAATAAAACTCTTGGACAGAGTAGTTTAATAGTGACCACTGGTCATAAAAAATCCAGATGACTGTCTGCTGTACTTACCCCTGGTGTGGCTTGCGTGTGACTCCAGACTTGCAGAAATGTGGTTGACTCTTAACTACCCCCAGAGGGCAGTCAAGTCTTTGTTTGAACCCTTAACCTGTCTGCCTGACAGTTCTTGCCGGTTAGAAAATGCTATGACAATTACTTTTTTTTTTGTAAAGTGCATTACCACTCTTGCCCCATGTTTGAACTGGACCTGCTATGTTTTTGTTTCTTCACTCCATCCATCAGTGGCTCTTAACAATTTTTTCCCCATTTGTATGACATGTTGTGCTACTTACTGATGGTGGAATTGAAGTCAATAGATCTCAACTTTTTTTTTGTGCATCTGATTAGGTGCTGCATTACAATGCCACACTGCTATAAGAACACGTGTCCTCTGAGATGTAAATGTGCACCCTGAAATGTAACCCCATTTCACTTTTTATTCACTCGGGCACGAGGGTGTTGCTGGCCAGCATTTTATTTCCCATCTCTTAGTTGCCCTTTAGAAGCTGGTGGTGAGCTGCTGCCTTTAACTGCTGTAGATTGATCTGCAATGCCCTTGAGGGAATTCTAGGATATTTGCCCAGGAACAGTGAAGGAATGGTGATCTATTTTGAAGTCTAGATGGTGAGTGGCTTGGAGGGGAACTTGTGGGTGTTGGTGTTCCCGTGCATCTGCGGCTGATGTCCTTCGAGGTGGAATTGGTCACAGGTTTGGAAGGGGCTATCTGAGGATTCTTGAATGTCTGCAGTTCATTTTGTAAGTAGCTGGTGGTGGTAGTAGTTACATGGAGTGCTGCTGGTGGTGGAGGAGGTGGACATGGTGCCAGTTGAGTGGGCTGCTTTGCCCAAGATGGCATCAGGGTTCTTCCAGGCAAGTAGGGAGTATTCCATCACACTCCTGACATGTGCCTTTGTCGATGGAGGACAGACTCTGTCCAGTCAAAAGGTGAGGTATTTGTAGCCTCTGAGGAAGGGTCACCAAACCTGAAACGCTTACTGCTTTTTTTTTCCCCAAAACAGATGCTGCCAGACCCACTAAGCTTTTCCAGCAACTTTGTTTGTGTTTCTGATTT